GACCAGCTTCATTTTTAACATTTTGTTTGAGAATCAATGGAGAAACAATGAGGTTTAGATTTTCTCCATTAAATCAAAGAGTGGGTATAAGGCAAGTTAAACTTCTTGAGATCGTTTACCATATGAAAATGGAACCAAATATTGCCTTTCTTGGTTGAGAAGCTCAATTAGACTTCGAACATCCATTATATGGTTGAAACCCACCCCCCACCCCCCCCAAAATTTTGAGGGCATTTTTAATGGTCATCGCAAATGTATTCTTGACACACCCCGGCTTCGAATCTTCCTAAATTACCAACACCAATAACGCTTAATTTAAATAATTTCATACAAATTGAATTGATTGAATGAAAAATTGAGTACAATCAAAAGAAACAGACCTGTTTGTCGGATTCGGGTTTGGATTCAGAGCTAGCATTGTCGTGGGCGCTGCTGCAGGGCTTTGGAGATCTTGAAATCAACGGAGGTGGTGCTCCGGCGAGTATGTTCTTGGGCGACTGTTTCGGAGTAGGAAGCAAAGTCCCACGGGGACTCAGAGTGGCCAGAAGCTCGCGAGGGTTTTAGGGCTTTTTCGTCTTCTTCCTGTTCGTCTACCTCATCCTCCTGCGGTTGTTGTTCATCGGCGTCAGAAAATTCCTCGTCGCTTGGGGGCTCGAATACGAAACCGGCAGCCATTCTCAAAAATTTGGGTGAGGAGGGAAGGGTTTATGGATTTTGGGTGCGAATGCGTATTTCTAATGAGCAATGCTACTCATATCATATTATCATATTATCATATTATGTTTTTATATCATATTTCTATACTATCTTAGTAGTGTTTGATGTAGACATCTATATCATTTAAAATTTTACAAAATTCAAGAAAAAAAAGGAGAATGACTCATTGTATATCATAATTATCATTTAATTAACTAATTTTTCTTAATTATTAATTTATTAAATAATGAACTAAATTTAAAAATCTAATTAATTCAAATTATGTGACTGTCTACATTAAATATCATCTAAGATGATATGAAAATATGATATAAAGACATGATAGTCTTACTCTTTCCTATTAGGGTTTTAGACAGCAGCGGAAAAGGGCGGCAGGCGTACGTGGCAGGTGTATTTATGAAGGCATCTGACGTGGCTGGTGTACGCGGACATGGGCCGGCCTGGCTTGATGTAATTGGCGGGCTTTGGTCCCCCACATGAGCACAATTTTATGTTAAGCGGTGTTATCAGATTTGGAAAGGAATCCTCGCCTGCCGGCTGATTAACAAATCTCGATATTTGAAATTTGATTCAACAGTTAAAAATAGGAGGTCTCATTAAAAGTTATAATAACTTTAGCAGTTGAATCAAATTTCAAGAATCCAAATTTGTTGATCAAGAAGGCTCAGGTGGAAGGGATCCGGAGAGGATTCATTTCCATCATATTTAAGGGTTGTTTTTCTCGGTAGCGTTAAAAAATGTTAAATATTTATTATAGATACGGTATTATTTGCATTGGGAGTGCGTGAGTTAATTAAGGCTCACAATGGGTTAACTATAATAATTTAGTTTAAATTTGTCTTTCGCAAAAATCAAACTAAAACCTCTAACTTATAAGTGAAGATGAATATCACTAGCCCATTACACTAAGTGGCAAATAATTAGTTGTTAGGGGAGGGGCATCATGATTGATCCCACAGCATAGACGTGGTTGCTTTCAGCCATTCCAGTAAAGCATCATCTGGTTGTTTTCTACTTTTATGCTTCTTCACCCAAATGAGTGCATGGTTGAAGTAGCATTATTTTAGGCATACATTAGTTGTGCCAGCGTTTATGCTACTCATGTGCACCCAAATTCGAATCCACCTTCGCAAACTTTAGAAATAGATACGACGTTTTATAATAATGAATTTGTATTGGCGTTTTAGCTTCAATTGAGGTGCAATGTGTAAATTGCTGAAGGTTGTGATGATTTCAAACCTGTGTAAGGGGTTCCTTGCAATCATGCGAAACTAACGACATGATCGACAACGGAACTGAGCGTTTGGGGGCAAAAAACGAATGTTGATCCATATACCAGCTTACACACAAACTGCGAACCCAAACAAAATCTAAGAAAAAGAAATGTAAGATTCATTACTTCAAAACATTTCACAAGCACAAAACAAATCCCGAATCATATGTTAAAACCTCCCTATGCAACCCTACGACTCAAGGGTAACTGCTGGATAGTCTTGGTAGCCCGTGACCGCTGTTATCCTTATGCGCGTATTGGGCTGGATGCATGACAAACGAGTTAAAACTAGATCATCATAACAGCAATATGCAATTCAGGATTTAGTGATGTGTATTACCAAACTCCCGGGGACATTAGATGGAGTTTATGCAGAAAACTATAAGGAAATATTGCTACCCCTGCGTCCTATCAACAGTGATAAATCGAAACAATTGAGTTTGGTTGGGACACCGGCAAATTACATGTGATCATTCTGCAAGATTCAATACCTTGTACTACAAAGAAACATATGTTTCTTCATTTCATGCATAAATTATCCCAGAAAACCTTGTCAGGACAGTACAGCATTCCCAAAGCCTCAAGCCTCATTGCCGTAAAATGCATGATGCATATAGCTGTATGCACTAACTTAGTTTCTACCATCATATTAACTTAGTTTCTAACTTAGTTCCTAGTTTCAATATATGAAATCAAGTCAACTGGAGTAACTAAACAGATAGCACAAAAATAGTCATTGCACTTAACTTAGTTTCTAACTTAGTTCCTAGTTTCAATATATGAAATCAAGTCAACTGGAGTAACTAAACAGATAGCACAAAAATAGTCATTGCACTTATGAATAAAATCAACTGTTCTCGTTGGCTCACAAAGAAATGAGGGTAATACCTGTCGGTGACCGATGTTTCGCCTATAATTTTTCTTCTTTTTATACTTGAAGACAACCACTTTGTCATTAAGTCCCTGCACAATGATATACGCAACAATAAGACATAGAAAATATTAAAAAGATACTAATGAAACGCAAACAAATTCACAATTATATTGACATTCTTTACGATGGTGAAGGGGAAAGATTCATTATAGCATAATGAATTACCTGCTCTTCAACGACAGCGTGTACAGCGGCATTTGTCACCACTGGTTTTCCAATGTACGTACTTGTTTTAGTCCCCACCAGCAACACTTTGTTGAGCACAATCTGCATAGGATCAAATTAAACACCTTGAGGACAAAGCAACGGTAACTTCTTAGAACATAAAAGATCCAATACTGATAACATTCACTGATTTTATAAATAGAGAGAATAAATGATTTCAAAGCCTTAAAGGCTAAATTAGAGACAACAAGACACAGTATTCTCCAATTTTTCATGAAGTCTAGTACAGCAAGAGTACATTTATATAGAGTTAAAAGTACATACATGCTGAAAGGGACGTAGGTGAGGAACCGCTTGGCTTGGACAAAAACTAAACTCTTATTCAAGAAGTGATTGATAATTTGCAATCAGAATCCCAAGAATATTATTATAAAAAATTCCTTCATAACCAGCAAAACCAAGAATATTATTACAATTTGTCTTGAAACGACGTTTGCATGCATCATATCACCAATTTAACTTGAAACGACTTATTGCAGCATTTCCAAACCACATTTTGTTCTAACAATGATTTCTAAATTTCATTATGTGCTGTAAGATTAGCAGGGAGTCACCTAATATCACAGGTTAGCTCAACTGATGAGTCTAACATTGGAGGCCTATCGCTGGAAATGGAATGTTTCTCATCCAACCCAAGAAGTAAAAGCATATGAACTTCAACAAGACCATTCCACTCGGGCGATTCTCGTAACAGTGATGCATAAAAACACAACTAAAACTAGGCCTTGCACTAGAACTACAATTAGCGGCTTGATGAATCCATACAACTAAAACTAAAGCCGAAATGGAGCATCAACGACAAGAATTTCAAGTAACGGATAGCAAAGAATGCGAAAAATATAATACCTTGTCGTTGACATTAGCGCCTTTCAGCCGCTGAGTATAGATAAATCGTCCAGGAATGACAATGTACTGGCGCCCACCGATCTATTAGACATCATACACAAGCAACCCAGTCGGCAGTCATAAGATTAACAACTTTCGAGCTGATTACAGAACCCCAACTTCAATTTTTGCTCTTAAATGTAATTACAAATCAAAATATCACCTGGGTAAACTGGTAATCACCACTAAACCACCAAATTAACGACCAAATACGAAATTTGGCAGCAATCAATCACAGATTCATTCAAAGAAGTAAAATTGAATACATACCATAACAACAGCGAACAGCTGCTCGCGTTTTGGGGCCTCCGACGAAGGGGTTTCCACGACTTGCAAGGCCGCCGGCTCCGAATCATCGGATCCAGCCTCCGGCTCGGGAGCTTGAAACTCGGCCTCGACGACCACGGCGGAATCCGACTCCAACGACTTGGTCAGAAGCGGGAACGTGGGTCGCCGTGAAGAGCAAGAAGACAGCTTGTGGGAAGAAGACAAAGTTAGAGACTGAAAGCTGAAATGGGTTGACGGAGTTTGAAGATTTTGCGAGATTTTGCAATGGGCTGCGAACGAAGAGCATAACGAAAGAGTTGCAGTTGCAGAGGCCGCCATTGTTGCCGTCGTTTCTTTTCAGAGCTCCCTCACTACTCGCACTCTGCGTCTCCGACTCACCAGCCAGACTTATCCTATCCGTTGGGGGATTCTATTTCGACCCAGTAATTTGTTACTTGTACCCTGCATCTGCAAAGCCGAAAACCCAATTTTGCCCTCTCCGCAAATTTATAATAAAAACAAATTTGTTAATGTTTCCCACCGTGCGGTAGGAATCCTTTTGAAACATGGAAAGGCATTACATCCCCTTCTTATAAATACTCCCCTCTCCTCTCATCGTTTATGTTCCTTCTGTAATTCCTTTGAGATTGCCTTCAGAAAACCAAGCAACGAGAAGAAGTAGACGACGACACGAAAAAAATGAAACCAACAAAAAACGAATCGTTGGCATATCTAAGGGAGGTGAAGGAGGTATTTGCAAAGCAAGACAAGATCGAAAACTTCCACCACTTTGTTCAGCTCCTCCAAGACTTCCGGACCCAAAAAACTGACACCGACGCTCTCACTCGCGCCGTCAAACAACTCTTCCAAGGCCACCCTCATCTACTCTTAGGTTTCAATGCCTTCTTGCCCAAGGAACATCAAATTACCTCTCAACCCTGCCCTCATCCTCCTCTTGCCTTCCGAAAAGCCATTGATTTCGTCAACAAGGTCAAGACCAGACTGCTAGGCGAAGGCCGAGATGATGGTATTAATGTTTATGAGTCTTTTATAAACGTTATGGCTAGTTATAGAATGGTCAGCCGGTCATCCAAACGAAAACGAAACGCTAGTTGTAGTACTAGTAGTTGTGAATCTAGCGACGATGACCGCGAGGCTACTGAAGTAATTTACCACAAGGTTGCAGCTCTTTTCAAAGACCACCCAGATTTACTAGAAGATCTCACTCGCTTTCTGCCCCCTCTTCGTCAAGATTATCACAGTTACCCTGGACGAACAACAACGGTAAAAGATAAACGTAACTGCACGCCAAGCTATTGCTTGCTGCCAAAGAATTCCTCATCACCACATTGTGATTCCAGAAGAAGAGGGCTTGAGTCTCAAGTACTCAACAACAGTTGCGTACTATGCGTTACTAGTACTACTTCCACTTCTGTGCCCAGATCAGAGTATGAACAAAGCCTTTTTCGCTATGAAGACGACATGTATGAGCTTGACATGTTTTTGGAGACGGTGAAATCAACCAGTAAACGTGCAGAACAGTTACTGGACAAGATCAACAACGGAACAGTTCATCAAATCCGTCTTGAAGATCACTTCACAGCGATGAATCTGAGGTGCATTGAGCGATTATACGATGACATGGGGCTTGAGGTGCTAGATGTGTTAAGGGAAAGTGCTGCGGTGGCTTTGCCGGTTATAATAGCCCGGTTGAAGCAAAAGTGGGAAACATGTCCCGATTTTAATCGGTTTTGGGCTCAACAATCTCAAACGTTGTTAGCAAATTAATGGCTACGTATTTTGTAGTACATATATAGGAACTATCATTTTTCATGAAGTTTGTGTGACAGTTCTGCAGCAATGTTTCACGCCAAGAATAACAAAAGATCATCGGGAACCAAACATATGCATATCAATAGCACCACCTTCTGTGTTACTAATGTGTAGTAGGATCTAATATATTTCAAAAGAATAGCATCCCTCTTAAACGGGGGTGTATTCAATTGGAATTTTAAGAGACTTTAATGCATTTATAAATTAAAAGATTTTGATGGAGTTTAATTGATTTTTAAAGATTTTATGTAAAATTTGAGGGAGTGCTCTCAAATTCTCATGGAAGAGATGAAATTTGTATGAAATTTGAGAATGCTTAAAATATACTACGAAATATCTCTAATTTTCTAACTTTTAGAAATCCTTTAAAATCAATTTTTAATTAATACATCTAAAATGTTATAAACTTATTTAAAAACACTTTTAGACTCTTTGATAATCCCTTAAAACCTAATTAAATACTCCTGAATTTGTAAAAATAATTAAAATCTCTCAAAATCTCAATTAAATAGATCCCAAACCCTGTAAAGGGAATTAATAAATTTAGTATATTCTCAAATCAAAAGACAAAAGAAAGAATAGAGAATTAAGAATAATCAATAATAAGAAAACAAGTTCTTTTAATACTAACGATACTTTATACTAAAATAAATTTGAACAGCTACTTAGGTTTAGTGATATTCTTATTCACTTATTATTATAAGAAAATAAGTTCTTTTAAGGTGAGAAGTTTTAAATTCGATTTTTGTCAACGGCGAATTTGAATCACATTATTATTATTACTAGTTCATTATAAGACTTAATCTACTTTCTATTATTTTAATGTAAATAATATCGTTTATTTAAAAAAAATTTGAACACAAAACGTAAACCAACTAATCAACTTCCTTCTATTCCCCACCAATGTCGGACTAGGCCCATCAAAGAAGAAGATCATGGTATTCTCTTAGGAAAAAAAAGAAAGCAAAAAGCAACCACTTGCTCGGAAAAAGAAGGTTGAATATGAAATAAAAAGTTGAAAGCGATGGGGAAAGAGACAGCAGGGGGTACAAGTTGTACCAACTGTTGTTGGGATTTCAGGGTACCTTGAATTCCTTCCTCCATCACCCGTGACTATATATTTTATCTTTTTTTTTTTTTTTCCGTATGAAACAATTTACAAAGAGCGTGCGCATTACGCACCCACCCAACCAACGTCAGTCTCTAAATCCATCGAGTTGTCAACAGAAGAGTCGTCACTCGTCAGTCTCTTTCTCTCTCTTAGTCCGAAGAAATTTTTAATTATGAGGGAAATAAAGGTGGTATATATGTAAGTAGTGAAAAATTTTATTTTTTAAGTTATTAACTTTTTAACACACATCCCACAATTTATATAACAATACGTGATGTACTATTCCGTGTGACGATCATACTGAAAAATCTCTGGTAGCGTGTTTATTTGCCTACCTTGGACAAAAAAACCCTAATTGTAATTAAAACATTAAATTATAGAGAACTTTAATGAAAATCACCCGGTACTGTTCACTTTAACGAAAAACCACATTTTTACATTAAAAAGTCAATCCTGGTACTATTCACTTTACCCTTTATTTTGTCCTTATCATTAAAACTTAAAGTTTTCAAGCCATTTTCATTAGTTTTCCTTAAATTATATGATAATTTATTATTTAAAGAAAATTGATATTAACATTGCAAAAAAGAAAAAATTATCGCTAGATCTTTTTACAGGGATTCCAAGGATCTTGTGATCATAATCGTTCATTGTAAATAGTGCAGTCAGTTTTCGTTAAGTAATATTTATATTTAATTTTAAAATTTAAATTTTGAAATGATTTTTAACCGCATGATATACGATGAACGATCACGATCACGGAATTTCTAGGATCCTTAGGGAAAGGAGGATTTTTTTTCTTCTAAAAATCTCATTCTATACTTCTCATTATTTTTTTCTTTCTTTCTAATTATAAAAAATTTAGAATGTTAAATAAGATTATTAAAGTGTTAATAACTATTCTCTATTTAAATAGTAAATGTAAAAGAATAAAATAAAAAAAATAGCCAAAGGGCGTGAGAGAGAGAGAGAGAGAGAAAAAAGAGGGGCAGCGAAAGGGTGGTGTCGGCTTCTACCAAACACGACCTTAATCTTATCATCCTCCGATCCCAATTCCCAAATCCCAAATCCCAAATTCCCCCACTCCCACTCCCAAATCAAAACCCTAATTTACTTGTTTCAGTTCAGGAGGAGGATTCGTTTCAGCTGATCAGCTCTGCATCTGTTTCTCTGAGGTAAGGTACACTATTATTACTGCTCACTAAATCTGTCTCTCAATTCTTCACTTCTTTTTGCGCTGGGATTCAAAATCTGTGAGAGATCCAGAGTTTGGGGATCTTAGTTTTGTTTGTGGGAAAATGGTCCAACTCATGATTAACTGCTTCAATTTTTTTTCCGTTTTTGTTTTGTTTTGTTTTTTTTTCAAAAGGGAAAAAAAATAGTGAAATTTTATTAGAGTTGAAGATGGTACTTAGTTGGGGGTTAAATGAAGTTGCGTTTTTGGATCCGAAAAATAGCGAAATCGATGAAAATGCATTTTCGATATCATACACAATCGAAATCTACAAACATAAAAAAGTGCATTTCATGGAATTTGTTCCGTTCTGGCTTTTGCTTTCTTCAATTCTGCATTAAAGTGCGTTTCAAATTCTACTTTACTGAAAAAAATTGCCGTTTTTGGGCTAAGAAAGGTTAAGGACCCGAAAAGGTTAGTCATTTAATGCTTTATTGTTCACACAAAGCTAGCTGCTGGCATAGAAAGTGTGTAGATTTTAAGGCTTAATAACTATTAGGCGCTGAAGCTAGTTTTGCATTGATTATGGGTGATCATTAAGGGGATTTACTTAATGGGTTTGTCTTAGTTGGTAGTACTATTACTTGGACAGCGTTGGGTGGCTTGTTTCTACTTTCTATACAACCAACTTGTTTAACACTTGGGTTTCCGCAGAAAAAAAGCTTCAGGGTTGGGAGAATATTTTCTTAGTTTTGTTATGGCATTCTCAGCTTCCAATCATCCCCAAGGCAGTTCCAGAACAGGTTTGATTTTCTCATTTGGTGGAACCCCTTACTAATTTGAAAGTTGTGTTTTGCTGCTGTTAGTATGCTATACTTAATTAGAAGGTGAATTATTGATGAACCTTATGATCGTCAATTTTTACCAAAACATGAAGACATTACTGATTACCATTAAGACCATCTATACAAATCCAACTAAAGGTGCTTATCATATATGTTTTCATATTTTCTAGATCATAGGTGTTTTATCGGATGTCCCAAAGGGACAGATCACAGATGTTTAATATGCAGAAATTTTGCTTATACCTTGTTACTGATACGTTCGTGTGGAAACAAATCTTATTGAGGCCATGGCCTAGTTAGAATTTAGGGAGTAATCATTTTACTAATGCTTTTACTAAAAATGTTTTCTAAAAATGTTTTACCATAAATGTATTTTACTTTTCTAGAGAAGTTATAAATTCATTGTTGTGCTGGAATGTATTTGAGTTTTTGTAGAACCTAAGAATTGGCTCACTTTGTAAAAGATCATTTTAGTTTAAGGATTACCACAGGTGATGACTAACTAAGGGAATTGTTTCTCTTGTAATGTGATAGCCATATCATATGCTACCTAACAGGATACATCCAGGGCATTTATGTAGTTTAAAGTTAGGATGATAAGCTGACAACAAACCATTGTATCATCTTATAAGCCAAGGAGAAAAGAATTGAAGGAACAACATTTATAGGATGCCTCTGTTATTGTAAATTTGTTTCCTGTTTTTAATACTTGTCTTTGAATTGTATTTTCTTACTTCTTGATAATTAATAGATTTCTAATCGCTACAGTGCTTTCGAAGGGGCTAGAAGTATTTGCCTTTGTTTGAGTGGGTTTATTTGATGTCTTCATTTTGTGTCCATAGTACATCTTCCTTCTCCTCATTTGTGTGGCTAAACTTCGTTGATTTTATAGGGACACCTGGTGATGCTTTGTATAAGGAACTATGGCATGCTTGTGCTGGTCCCCTTGTCACCCTTCCACGTGAAGGGGAGCGAGTTTATTACTTTCCACAGGGTCATATGGAACAGGTATGTCCGAGCTTTAAGTTAATCTACAGGTAGCCAGTGGGTTGAATTGGTAACTGCATCTTTTGGAATGATGTTTTACTTAATAATGTCAGAAACCAGTTTTGAATTATATAAGCAATTACCGTTTAATACAAATAGCTGTAGTCAATGGACAACCTGTACAATGAAGAGATATATAGTGAGCTCTAAAGGGAGAGATGATTCTCCTTTACCACAGGTTTAAGGTTTTTTTTTTTATATTTATTTTATTTTATTAAAACATCAAGAGAATTGAAGAGAGAAGACAGTAGCTTTAATTGTTCATGCGAAGATCATTCTCTCAATTTTAGTCTGGATTGCAATATAATGAACTCGGGTTTAATGTTCTAATCGAAAATGAGGGTTCTATGTTCCAGTCAATTTGGGGTGGCGTATATTCTGGTTGTGACATCAATTAACATATATACCCCTCATATGTTCATCATGATTTAAATTTAACAAAAATCCTAACAGAGTTGACAGAGAGGGGACATTGGCTCATTTTAAAAGATTAGGGGGGATCCGAACCAAATGGAAAGTTAAGTGGGAAAACTGGAACAAGACGCATGCTTTTTCCCATTTGAATTAATATTAAAATATTGAATAGCTAGTCGCTAGTACCCCACCTCTCTTTTTTTGACTTCTCTCCAAATTTGGAGCTGCGGTATAACGTATGTTGTGTGGACTTAATCTGGTGTTGGATGTGCTTTGTGATCCTAGTGATGGTACTTACCAAAGTGTTTCCATGAACTTGGAGTCCTTAATAGCCATGTAATGTGCTGTGGTGTTGCCGATTAGT